TATGCAGGCGGAGAAAACAAAGGTCCCCTCACGTTAAGCTGATGTGTTGGTGTCGTCACTTCAATGGTCATTTAGCTCTACATGATGCAGCAGTGATTCGTTACATATAATCACCTGTAACTATGAATCACTGTGTTTTCATCAACTCAGTGGTTCCCAAACTTTTTACAGTCCCTCAGACTTTAAAGTTCCTGCTGTGTTTCCATCTCTGTCGCACACAGACACGCTTATATTGCCATGATGCATATATAAGACGCGTAGACTTATAAAATGAATCCACCTTAACGCGTTATCATGTGTTGACGCAACACACCAGATGTACAGTACCAGCCAAAAGTTTGGACACACCCCATTCAATGTTTTTTTTTATTTTTATAACTTTCTACATTGTAGATCAATACTGAAGACTATGAAGGAACACATATGGAATTATGTAGTAAACAAAAAACATACCAGAAAATGTTTTATAGTTTAGATTCTTCAAAGTAGCCCCCTTTTGCTTTGATGACAGCTTTGCACACTCATGGCATTCTCTCAGTCAGCTTCATGAGGTCGTCACCTGGAATGGTTTTAAATAACAGGTGTTAATTAATTTAAGAGTTAATATGTGGAATTGTTCATCTTCTTAATGTAGGGCTGGTACACAGTTCTATAGCTCTTTATAGAACTGAGTTCTTTCATAGTTTTTAAGCCTAAAATAATAATCTGCAATGTAGGAAATAATAAAAATAAAGAAAAAAAAATAAAGAACAAAAGAAGGTCCTGTGGTACTGTACACTCTAAGATTAAAGATACTAAACTGTCACTGAGGTGGTTTTTTCAAGGGTATGTCTGATTTTTTGACGTTTGGGAACCGCTGGCCCAGAATAGCTCTTTATATAAGTACATGGTGAAACTAAACAGTGAATCATTCCTTCAGGGCCAACACAGGAACACAAGTGCAAAAATGCTACAATATACACAGTGCAGACAGTATAGTGCAATAAATACAAAAGACTTACAATAAATACAAAATAGAACACAGGCAGTACATGGTACTGACAATATGTAGAGTGTGAAAAGCAGGATGTAACATACTATGACATATTAACAAATAATCTAGCATATTTGAGCGTAGCAGTCACTGAGGTAGGAACCAGAACAGCAATAATGGAATACTGTTACAGGACGGCAGGGAGGCAGACCCAAGTGCAAAGATGAAAACCCGTGAGAAAAGGTCTTAAATAAATTTATTGAGGCAATAGAGTGTGAATTTAGCACATTGGGGTTGAGGTGACCCAAGCCAGGCTCAAATCTGAAATAACGTGAAATAAACGATAATGAGAAAGCAAAAGACACTTCCACTGTAATTATGAAGGGAAGGTAGACTTTATGTTTCACTTGTTTGCTCTTAGTGGAGCAAACACCTTTTGTATGGCTTAGAGCTGTTTGTAGCTCAAGACTTCTTGTGTATTTTTTATTTTTTTGAGTAGTTTTAGGAAACTACTCTCTTTTGTTTTTTTGGGCTAAGTACCGTACCGGTCACTCCTCTACAAAGGTGTGACAAAGGGCTGCTGTTTGCCCCAGCCTTAAGTAGAGGAGTCCACAGGGGTGTCAGGTTGGGCCTAAGCAGCACGAGGGCTTCTGGGAATTTTAGTTCCCTGAAGTTATGGCACTTTGCTGCCGTCACCCTCTGCTGGTGGCTGGTGGCTTAGGCTGGACCCTTACAGAATACAATATTCAGTTGACCAGAAATATAAATTATGTTAAGTATTTCAGCATGAAATTAAATAATTATATTTAATTACACTCTCAGACATAATCTGGAATGTCAAGACATGGAGAATGAGATGGTGTCATATTGTTGTGTACGTGTGAGGGTGTGTGTGTCTATGTGGGTATTTGTTAATTCAGTCTGTGGGAGTTGAGGAATCTGATGGTTTGTGGAAAGAAACTGTTGCCCAGTCTGGCTGTGAGGGCCCGAATGTTGCGATACCTTCATCCAGATGGCAGAGGAGAGTAGGAGAAACCCGGCAGTAATGCAGCTGCTCCGGATGCTCTCTATAGTGCGTCTGTAGAAGGTGGTAAGTAAGGATTCATTTGGTTACAATCTACAAGTTCACCACTAGATGCCACTAAATCTTACACACTGCTCAGTTAAATTGTTGCTGAATCGAAACAAATTCACAAGTTCACACAAACGTTCCTGTTAGCAGACAATGCAAAACAAACACAGATGTGTAGTGGGTTGCTGCTGCTGCATTGCTGTGTGCTGCTGATGGCAGCAGTGCACCAAATAACTCCAGAGATGACCCCTTTTTATAAACGGTCAGTACCTGGACAGCACTTCAATTCAGATGGGAATCAGTTCTGATTGCCCCGTTTACATATAATCAGTCAGCAGTTTTTCTGTATAAACTTTATACTTTTTCATCTTTGATTGTTGTACAGTACATTTGGACTTACCAAAACTCATATGCAGTTTATTTTCATGTTTCTTATAAGAGGTAAAGGTGAAATCCAGCAGTTTTTCAACATTTCTGCGTAATTAAGTAGTTAAGATGTAATCAGTGTGGTTCAGAGTGGTTTGGTGTGAAACGCTCTGTTCTAGATAAACTTACAGAGTCAGAACTGTTCACAGTGGTGGTGATAGGAACCAGACGTCCACCTCTAAAACCTCCCTCACAGAAAGTTACTACATGAAATGGTTATGAATTCACTGCCTGATGACTAAGACCCTGTTTTATGATCGTTTAGAGAACTTAAACTCCATTCATGGTGGAGGGATACATGCAAGGCGCTGTGAGGCAAAATAGTCCCCAAAGAAAACTTATTATTTCAGGTTTTCCACTATTTTCCATCATCAACATTCCATATAGACTCATACATGTGGTTGTGACAGTGAACAATTTTACACAAAACCACTCTGAATTACTTTGGTTACAATTTTACACTTACATATTTGAAAAATCAGCGGAATTAGGTCAGCCTAACTTTATATGATTTAGTATCTACAGTATTTAAAGCTAACAAGTGCAAGAGGTTACAATATTATCATAAGATAGTTTTGTTTTTTGTTCAGCTTCCTCATTGAGCTGATTGAGTAAAAAGTGTAAGAAGGTGTTTAGCTCCCTGCTTATGCAGTAGTAAGATGTGTGATTTGGTGCAAGTCCTATTAAATCATCATTTATCACTCTTACAAAAGTCCAGACACTAGTGACATAAAATTTAAGCAGCCAAAACCAAAAAACCTCCTGTTTTGGTGAAACACTGATCCAGTAAAGGAGGTTTAACCAGCAGAGCGACCTGAGAGAGAATTACAGCCACAAACACGCAGAGCTCAGCACGAACCACTCACCGCCGTCCATCAGCAGAACCTTCTGATTAAGAGCTTTAAAACAGCACCTTCCCTCAGTCTCACTGAGCACTCTTTAAAAACCTCATTCAAATACGCTGCTGCAGTGGTGCTCGGAGAGAGCAGGCTTCAAAAGTCCTTCCAGCTATGTGCTCACCTTGTCCAAGATAAGCTCTAACCGCATATAAATGGTGTAAATACACGATTCAGCCGTAACATTAAACCACTACTTGTTTCTTCACTCTGTAGTTCTACAATTACAGACTGTTTTAAAACACCTCAGTGTCACTGCTGGACTGAGAATAGTCCACCAACCAAAAATATCCAGCCAACAGCGTCCTGTGGGCAGCGTCCTGTGACCACTGATGAAGGACTAGAGGATGACCAACACAAACTGTGCAGCAGCAGATGAGCTATCGTCTCTGACTTTACATCTACAAGGGGGACTGACAAGGTAGGAGTGTCTAATAGAGTGGACAGTGAGTGGACACAGTGTTTAAAAACTCCTGCTGAGAATGATCCACCACCCAAATAGTACCTGCTCTGTGAGGGTCCATGGGGGTCCTGACCACTGAAGAACAGGGTAAAAGGGGGCTAACAAAGTATCAGAGAAACAGATGGACTACAGTCTGTAACTGTAGAACTACAAAGTGCACCTATATAGTAAGTGGAGCTGATAAAATGGACAATGAGCGTAGAAACAAGGAGGTGGTCAGAACGTTATGCCTGATCGGTGTATGTGACAAATACTGTGCAGCTATTGGCGTTTCAATAAAACTGGGCATGCCTCTTACTGGGTTAAATTGGTCCACCTCCCAATATTAAATGCTCCCTTACACCTAACTGGATGCCAATTATATGAGGACAACTGGCACATCAGTTATTCTTTTACAGGCCTCTGAATTATTGATTTATATATTTAAAAAGTATCAAGTAAATAAATCAGTCTAATAGAATGCAACCACACATTTTTAATTAACAATCAAAAATTTTAATTAAAGGAACAGATATTATTTGTCTGCTTGTTAAATCAAATTCCAAATCATCAGAATCCCCATTTAAGAAAATGGAATAAAAGTAAATTATTTAAGGTATTGGCAATAATTATAAATGTGAGTGATGTCAAGACGAACACCTTAATGCAAATATCCATCCATCCATCATCTAAACCGCTTATCCTTCTGGGTCACGGTGGGGTGCTGGAGCCTATCCCAGCTGTCATTGGGCGGAAGGCAGGATACACCCTGGACAGGTCGCCAGTCCATCGCAGGGCAGACAGACAGACATACACACACTCACACACCTAGGGGCAATTCAGCATGTCCAATCAGCCTGACTGCATGTTTTTGGACTGTGGGAGGAAACCGGAGTACCCGGAGGAAACCCACGTAGACACGGGGAGAACAGGCAAACTCCACACAGAAAGGACCCTGGTCGCCCGGCCGGGAATCGAACCCAGGCCCTTCTTGCTGTGAGGCGACAGCGCTACCCACTGCGCCACCGTGCCGCCCTTAATCCAAATAAATGAAATGAAATAAATATTGATATAAAATCTACTTTAAAATCTAAAAGAAAGTATCAGTGATCAGTGTACCTGAGTAACAGTGAGTAAGATGTGGGTTGAACTGGTGCAGAAATGAGGTCACGGCACAGTCAGCAATGTCTTTGCCAGATTTATTAGAAGAATTCCTCACACAAAACAAGGTTTATGATACTGAAGAAAATGTTGATCATGCAGAAAAATCATTGATTAAATGTTGAAGTTGGTTAAAATAAAAATGAGAATAGAAAATGAAAGAATAAATGAATGTAAAAATGAATCAAAAAGCCAAAGTATCTAACAGCATTGCTCCAACACTAGTTACTCTCTCTGTCTGTTCCCAAAACACAGATAGCGGCCTGCTACTGTTAACCTCCAGAACATCAGAGAGAAATCACTCTTTTAACTCTTTTTTTTAAGCCTCTTTCTCGTACATTGTCCAAGAGCCTCTGTCCAATCACCCGTGTTTTTTACACCTTCCAAGTGCACAAACTGTTTGTACAACTAATTACTTTTTTTAACTCTTGAATATAAACTAATCTCAGCTGATCAATAGATGTTTGTATACAGTTTAAGCAAATCTCAGTTTATCAATAGATGTTTGTATACAGTTTAAGCTAATCTCAGTTTATCAATAGATGTTTGTATACAGTTTAAGCTAATCTCAGTTTATCAATAGATGTTTGTATACAGTTTAAGCTAATCTCAGTTTATCAATAGATGTTTGTATACAGTTTAAGATAATCTAAGATAATCAATAGATGTTTGTATACAGTTTAAGATAATCTCAGTTTATCAATAGATGTTGTATACAGTTTAAGCTAATCTCAGTTTATCAATAGATGTTTGTATACAGTTTAAGATAATCAATAGATGTTTGTATACAGTTTAAGATAATCTCAGCTAATCAAGAGATGTTTGTATACAGTTTAAGATAATCTCATCACTAGATGTTTGTATACAGTTTAAACTAATCTCAGTTTATCAATAGATGTTTATATACAGTTTAAGATAATCCCATCAATAGATGTTTGTATACAGTTTAAGCTAATCTAAGATAATCAATAGATGTTTGTATACAGTTTAAGATAATCTCAGCTAATCAATAGATGTTTGTATACAGTTTAAGATAATCAATAGATGTTTGTATACAGTTTAAACTAATCTCAGTTTATCAATAGATGTTTGTATACAGTTTAAGATAATCCCATCAATAGATGTTTGTATACAGTTTAAACTAATCTCAGTTTATCAATAGATGTTTGTATACAGTTTAAGATAATCCCATCAATAGATGTTTGTATACAGTTTAAGATAATCTAAGATAATCAATAGATGTTTGTATACAGTTTAAGATAATCTAAGATAATCAATAGATGTTTGTATACAGTTTAAGATAATCCCATCAATAGATGTTTGTATACAGTTTAAGCTAATCTAAGATAATCAATAGATGTTTGTATACAGTTTAAGATAATCTCATCAATAGATGTTTGTATACAGTTTAAGCTAATCTCAGCTAATCAATAGATGTTTGTATACAGTTTAAGCTAATCTAAGCTAATCAATAGATGTTTGAATACAGTTTAAGCTAATCTCAGCTAATCAATAGATACAAATCAATATATCCCAGAATATCAGATGTATAACACAGTGAGTCTTAAAAAGACAGACAGGACTCAGTTCTCTTTCAACACAGCAGAGACGTGACTGTATACCTGAAACTGCATGTCTGGTTCATTAGATTAGTCGTTAACCTCTGTATGTGTAGCTCTACATTTACATTCCTAAATGAATTTAAAAAGGCCATCAGTTTTAGCAGATGAGCTGAATCAGATGTGTTAAAATAGAAAATGCAGTAAAGAGACTAACAGTTTCCTACAAAAAAGGAGGTTCAGTTACAGAAGAAAGACTCCACTGCAGTAAAACAAGAATCTTCACATCTTCAATAAGGAGCTGTTGTGTCTCTTTGTCTTGGGGAGCCGATGCTTCAGTTTGGTTTGGTCACAAAGGTGAAAGTCTGTAATGCAAATCACAGAATTAGTCACAGTTAAATGTGTGAATGCTCACTAATTTACTACTGACAGTACTGACTAGTGTTAATAGTGTGATGGAAATTAGAAAATAAATTCATTTTCTGTACCTTGAAAACATTTTGATGGACATTAACTGTGAGTTCATACTCAGTGTTGGGCAGCAGGTTTAAGATCACTATCTCTTTTTGGGTATCTGGCCATGGCACCTTCTGATCCTGTGCTTTGTCTCCATCACTCTTTTTCTTGTACAAAATTTCTATAAGCCCAGATATTTCTGTTCGTCTCATGGTTATAGTGTTCCCATTGATTTTTACCACCTCTGGCTCAAATGGGTTTAGGCAATTTACACAGACAAGTTTCCCATTTAAATATTGCCTCACAGAAGCACCTTCATTATAAGGATAGGGGACGTAGCTGATTATGGAAAACATTTTAGGACTCTGGGCAAGTGCACAAAAGAATTCAAGACATTCCCTCATGCTCTTTGAGATTTTAGAACATTTGTACCAAGGAGTTTCATCTTTGACTGACGTTTGCAGATCAGAGGGTAAACATTCCATTGTAGTGAACTTCTCAGAGTCCAGGCAAAACCTGAGGGAGTCCAGGTAAGGGTCATCTTCTTTAAGAGAAGTGAACACAAACGCCCCTACCACTTTGTTTCCAGGATCAGGCAGCACTTTGTCTAAGTCTTCACGAGCTACGATCTTCAGATTTGGGACCTTGCTTGTAATTTCATTAATGTATGAATGAATAACGCTGAGTTCAGTCTCTCTTTCTTTCAGCCAGGGGTCCGTTTTGCTGGGCCCAAAGGGTGATTCTTCATGAAGACCGAACATCTTCTCCAGCCTTTCTTCCTTCTCTGCTCCCTTCCTGATTTCAGGGAGGAGTTTAAAGAGGTTGTCTTTCCACACAACTGTGTATTTCTGAAGGTTTTCTCCAAAATCTTTCATCTTCTTAGTGATGTCAGTGGCCTGAATGGAGTCGCTCTCTTTAGAAATGTCATTTGCTCTCATTTGTGCAGTGTTCAGCTGCTCCATGATGTTCTGTAACTTAATGCAGTTCATTTTGCTGACTTTGTGCTTGACCTCTGGAGCCGAAGGCACAAGTTCTATTAAAGGGACGAGCCAGACTTTCTTGGGCACCACATTCTCCTTATTTGACCCGAGCAGTTTGGGGAGACTTTTGTAGACTTTTACTGCCTCTTCAAAGTTGGTTGGGTTCTCCTCCAATGCAAATTCACCATGGAAGGTGCAGGTAAAGTTCTGCACTTTCTTCCTTTCTTCATCAGTCATTTGAACCTTTCCCTCAGCACTGATATTTAACAAGCCAATCTTATTCACCATGAGTTTCATGCTTGATTGAATATCTTGCTTGTTTCGCTCATCTGATGCTGATTCACTGAACACCATCAGCGCTTCTGCACCGTATTCTACCTGAATAACGACATGAGTAGAACTCAAATTTGGGTCTTCGATGTCTTTGTAGGTTGCACTTCCTATTTGGCTCATGTTAAGGTGCTCAGTCTTGGTCCTCACACTGTACTGGGCAGTCACTCTGCACTCGTGTAAAGAAGATGATCTGTCATTCAAATAACTGGCCGATCCCTCCACGTTTACTAACCCTGCATATATACTCGCACTAAGAGAGGAACTTATTTGTAATATTTTTGATTTTTCTTCCAGAGAGTCAGTGAGATGAATGTTGAAAGATGTTTTTGGGCTCTGCCTCACTATCGTGTTCTTCTGTATGTTGTCCATGTCCCACAGGTAGACCCCTAAAGAAAGAAGAACTCATCAGAAAGGTAAGGTGTTTGAGGTGTTTTAGGCAGATGCTAGCAGTGAACCCCTACCTGGAATGAAGGAGTCGTTGTGGCAGTCGTACAACATCCCCAAATGAAGTTGTCTTCCAAGGGTTGCAACTTCAAGCAAACTTTCAGTATTCATGTTGGTGTCTTTAAGAACCACTGCAGTAACTAGAAAAACAACAAACTCCAGTGGAGAAAAAATACATCACACAATTAAAACTGTGATACGTTAAACTGTAACCTGTTCTACTTCAGTACTTTAAATAATATCTTTAATATATGATGCAATGTGATACAACATGGCATACTGAAGCAAAACAACAAAGGCACTGGCATTTTACATTAGGGCTACAGTAATTGTAATTATGTACAGTTATACATAAAAGCTTGAACACCTTCTGTCAAATTACATGTTTTGTTGATGCTCTAACTGAAAATACATCAACATATCCTGTACAGAAAACATGGCATTTTCTGGAAATTTTAGTGCACAATTTCTGTTTATTTGCTGAGTTTAACACATTGGAATAAAATAAATGATGCCTTATGAAATGTGACAAAATTTTTGCACAGGCCATACATGTTTTCTTCCCCAATATGTCAAATTCAGCAAATTTAAGAGTAAATGTGCATTAAAATTTGCAGAAGTGTGTTCTCTGTAGAGGATGTGTTCATTTTTATTACTTAGAAAATCACTGACAACATGGAGTTTGTCCTAGGTGCCCATAATACATATGCAGTATTAGACGGACTTTGTAAAAAGGAATGTTTACAAAAAGGGCACAGATTAAGAAACAAACTATAAAATTAACCCACTTAAGGCAGGTAAACAGTAGATCATTCAATAAAGACATTTTTAATTTAAGTTACTTTCGACATTCATGTTTATAATATTTTCATATTATCATAATATTTTCAGCATGTAGGTGGACAAGATCACAGTTAACTCTGCATGACTCACCTGATGGTTTTCTGGAAAGCTGGTACCGTTCAGGATTATGAAATCTAAGTTTTGAAATCAACAGCTCTTTGGTGGAGATTTAAAAACACGTTTTCATGTTGATGTTCAAAGTTCTTCAGGCCCAAAACACGTAGTCTAACATCTGCGTAGCACATTCAACAGTCCCCTTCTAAGGCCTCGCATTTCCTGTTTTTCTGAGTTTAGAATTGAGCAAAGCCAGAGCCCCTCCTCCAGACCCTGGTCTAAAAGGCATAACAGGGAGTGAGCAGGAAGTCCAGAGGCTCTGAGTGAGTGAATGGGAGTAAACACAGGAAATGCCTGATTACCCTGAACAAACTGGTGTTTTGTGGACGTATGTGGTACTCTAACACATTGACTGTCCTGTGCTTCATCTTCATCATGTTTCGTATGTCCTTTTTTTTAATGAGCTACGATGTGTCTAAAACAGGTTTTTGTTTTGTGACCCGAGTACAGAAATGTTTTAAATGATATAAGGACTTTTATGAGCAACAGATGTCAAATAATGGCAATCTGAGTAGCCAAGGGGCTCCATAATATAATAACGTATGGCATGTGTGACTGTCTCATGTAAACAGCTTATAATTGCAATTGTAATTGTAATTGACCCAAAATACAAAAAAAAAAATCCCAAATATTTTGGGGTTTTCTAGGGGTTTAGGATCTAATATATATTTTTGGTTGGTTATCCGTTATAAGTGGCTAGCCAAATCATACAGCTATGAGCTATCATTACCTTGTCTGCTGTGTGGCTGTCTTCATTTTAAATATTTACATACTGACTGAAAGCGTTAGCCGCTCAATCTTTTGGAGAGATGCAGCTTAATGGGTAATGTAGTGCCTGTAGTAAATTAGCATGGCATGTCCTGTAGTGCTGTATTGCTCATTTCCCAGGAAAACATGTTTTATCATGTTATGGGTGTATTACAAAAAATTAAAGCATTTTCTGCAAAAGTAGACAGTGATGCTACGGGTCAGAACACTCTCAGACACCATTCAGGTTTGTATTCAAGCTGTCAAATTAAACTCAAGCGTATCACTGAAATGCTACAAAAATAATGTGAATGATGCTGTTTCAGTCAGCCCTGTAGAAGAGAATTCAACTTTCTACGTCTTGCTTTTACAAACACGTGAGCAATGTGTACTACAACAGTCTACAAAGAAATCTTGTAATCAGCAGCAGGCACTTTATGTCTGGGTGTTTTTTGGTTATTATGCCTTTGTTTATTTGTTTACTATCTAATCAGCAATGTTGTCCTTTCCGTACACCAGGGGTTGTCAACCCAAATGTTATTTTGTGGAAACATTTTAACATCTTGGCTGTAAATACACTATATTGCCAAAAGTATTCACTCATCCAAATCATCGAATTCAGGTGTTCCAATCACTTCCATGGCCACAGGTGTATAAAACCAAGCACCCAGGCATGCAAACTGCTTATACAAACATTTGTGAAAGAATGGGTCGCTCTCAGCAAGCAAAGCAAAGCAAAGCAAAGTTTATTTATATAGCGCTTTTTAAAACAGGTGTTGTCACAAAGCAGCTTTACAAAACAAAAAAATCAGCATTACAAAAAGAAGTCCGGGTCCAAACCCCCATGAGCGTCGCCAGTGGCAACAGTGGCAAGGAAAAACTCCCTAAGAGAAACAGGAAGAAACCTTGAGAGGAACCAAGAAGGGGAACCCGTCCTCCTCTGGTCGACACCGGATACATACCCAGCCATCACCATGTCTTGAGATGTCTTAAGACATGTCTAAAGACACATTATGAAGACGTCTTAGGACATCTTGAGGCATGTCTTAAGACATGAAGACATGTCTTTAAGACGTGTCTATAGACACGGATCTTAAGATGTCTTGGCAGTAATAACATCTCAAGACGTCTCAAGATGTAGGGTGTATAATACGTATTTTTAAATTTTACCTACATTTCTTTAAATAAATCTTTTACTTTTAAATATTTTAAGGGAATTTTAAAATGTAACATTATTTATAGCTAAAATTATAGTAATTATTTTTTTTTCATTTTTTTGTTCTATGTAGGATGCATAATGGTATCATTTATTTTAATATATTGCATATCATTTTATAAACATACAAACATTACATACATTAGTACATACTACATTTATACATTTCAGAACAAATTTAACAACAAAAGTAATAATAATAATAATAGGCACATGGTTCCCAGTCTGTAGCTTTCTCTACAATAAGCCATTTTATATGAAACCACTAAATGACTTTGTTTACATCGCAATGACAGAATTATGCCAAGTTTAGAAAAATGTGTAATTCTCCTTTAAATGTTTCTGTTGCATTAGAAAAGTTTATGGAATCAGTGATATGATGAAAGTTTATTTGTGAGTTCAGACCATGCCTTCAACATGGTGGTAGTATGAGGGAAGACTCTTATGCAACTATTTTGTAATACAGTGTTGCAGCAAAATTTAAAAATTTAATTCAGTGCTTTTAAATACCTTTTTATAGTAATTAACCCTTAATGTTTTAAAAATGTGGTAAAATGTGTTAAAGATACATTTTTTACAGACTATTTTACAGTTGCTTCATTTTTTAATGAAGGTATCATTTTATCAACTTTTAAAATAATAATAAGGAGAACAAAGAACAATAATAAGTATGCATAAATTACAGTAAAGTAATTTAAAGGGGTATAGAAAATCACTATTTTACAGTTTTGTATTTCCTTGTTAATCTGTTAAAAATTCAGAATACTTCTACATTCAAATAATTTACTCTGCAATCCAAAGCATAGCCCATGAAAAAGCACCCACATAGCTTTCAAAAAATATAATTACAGTTATTGTTTATTGTTTTTACAACTGTGTATATGCACAGTACAATAGTGTCATCACACTTGATATGTTCTACAGAAAGAGAAAAACATGTTAACTGACTTTGTGTAGAAATTTGAAATATACTGCAATAAATACACAGTTCTGACCAATGAATCTGATTTTAAGGTCTGCTGTTATTCCGTATATAAGTTATGCTGAGGTTATTAACAATATAGTACTATGAACAATTATAAATGATCGGAAACAATTTTAAGACAAATTAATATGGACTAAAAAGAAAAACTGACCAACAGAGTAATACAGAGGTCTGAACCCCAGCAGCACTCCTAACATACCTGAGCCAGATAATGATCAGCTGTCAAACAATTAATACCAGACTCAGGTAGCTGGAATAGAGTCAAGCTGTGGACATTTTATGTGGACACAGGAAACAGGACACAGATAACTCAGTGTGCATATGTCCATGCCGTAATGCCTGAACACTAACATTACTGATATCACCCTGCTAATGTTACCGATCTCTCCTTTTAGAGTTAAATCCGTGATGAGTGAGAGAGCTGTCAGATTCACAGCCCATCGCTTCTTCCTCTGTTTTTTCTCAGTGTTGGTCTTCTTTGTCAGAGATATGAGGAAAATGCATCTGTTAAAAAATCAATTTTAAGACAATAAATTTGAAATTATTTTTGGATCTGCGTACACAAGCAGGCTGAATTTAAAGGGGACCTGTTATGCTAATTTCCAATGTTCATAAATGTATTTTTGGGGTCGACTATAATACATTTACATGCTTCAGTGTTCCAGAAACACATTATTTTTCTCATACTGTAATTGTTTACTCACCCTCTGTCTGAAACGCTCTGTTAGAGCTCCAGTGTCTTTAAGCCCCTCCTTCCTGATGAGCCCAGTACGCTCTGATTAGTCAGCTCGCTCACTTGGCTCTGACTGATCAAGCACCAGAGCGGTTCCGCCAATACACGGCCTCCAGTAGGTGCGTTGCGTTGTGTGAGGGCGTGCCAAGCTCGCTGGTAGGTGGGCAATAAGGATTGTGTTATGGGATTACATCATCTTGTAACAAAGGAAAAGGGCTGGGGAACTCCAGGCCTCAGGCAGCTGAGAAAAGTGGTTTCTGTGGGAAAGAGTTTCTCCCTCTGGCATATACTTTCAGCTTTGTATCTTACACGCACAAAAAGCTACATAACACAGTAAATAAAAGGGAAAGCATTATATATTCCCTTTATAAGTAGAATATAATGTACAGTATACATAATTTTACTCATCTAAAATCAACTCAGGCATTTAGTACACAAAGAAATGTGACAAGGCTTTAAATAATACCTATGCATGAACTCCAGTGTGGCACCCAGCTCACACGCATAGCTGATGTTCAGACAATGATGTTCAGTGTAATGAAAGAAGCATCAGGACGAGGCCACTTGTGTAAGAGCACAGTTGAGTGTTGAGAATGATATGGACTGCCACCATACTGGATGAGGCCCAAAGAGAGGATGTTCCTTGGGAAGGATTGAAAACAACAAAGTTGATTAGATAATTCACAATTCTATTGTTTTCATCCTCTAACATGCCAAAGTCAACATGTGACAGAAATGATCATTTGCTATTGAGGCAGGTGTGAGCTTAGTACTGATATCTGTATCTGTTAAAACCTGTGTTAAAGGGGAATTACATGATTTTTAAGCACAATTTCATCATTAAGATGCAAAAAAATATTGTTTCCTTGTTCATAGTGGCAGTGACAAGAACCAGGCGTTTGAAGAGTTCAATGCCTCTAATCTCTCTCACAGAGAATTATTACATGAAATGATTATTAATAAGAGCTGAACTCTATTAGATCATGTTTACCACATGCTTTATGCTATAAATTGTAGGGCTCTGAGACTTGCAGTATTACACATTAAAGCACTGTGAAGAAGTAAATTCATAAATATTGATACAGTGTTGGTGATATTGCCATATCGATATTTTGAACACAGCTGTAATGGCAAATAACATTAATAAATTGAATGAACAAAGCGCAGATATTTGAATACTGTAACCCGGCTTTACCTAAACATTCTGCTCTTCTGTATTACCATAAATACTTCATGAAATATATTTGTTTGAAATACCCACCAAATCTAAACATCTGTCTGACATTCTTATAGTTTCATTTAAAAAATTAAAACTTGAGTCTCACCAGTTGCTCAGCTTCAGATGATTTCTGATGAGAAACATCTAAAACAAAACAGACACATGAGGTAAATGCAGCAAAACAACAACAGTAAGGCATAACAATGAAAAACACAAAACAAACTGGTCATTATATATTACTAATAAATGTAGCCGAGTAAAACATAGATTATTAATCTAAAGCACAGATAATACATTTTAAAAATACTCTAGAAAGTACAAATCCACCGAGACGTTACTTGAGTAAATGTAACTGAGCAAATTAAAATTATTACTACCCTCTCTGAACCACACAGACTGACGGACCATGTTCAGTTTCATTGTTGTATTGTTCAGTGTGCTGACCCTGCTGCACTGTGATCAGTGTGCTGACCCTGCTGCGCTGTGTTCAGTGCGCTGACCCTGCTGCGCTGTGATCAGTGCGCTGACCCTGCTGCACTGTGATCAGTCTTAGGTTTATTTCTGAGGCAGTCTTTCATTTGGAGCGCGTGCTAAGCGAGATCTGACGCAGCCGCGAGGCGTAAACAGACACGCCGCTTAGCCGCTAGCTAGCTAACTACATACGCTAACCTACCGCCGGTGTCTTCACTCGGCAGATCAACCCAGAAATACAGAAACAAAAGTTTACTCCAGCTGACTGTCAGTGAGGCTGCTTATCTCATTCGGTCACTACTCACCTTTTAAAAGCAGACTCTGACCGCTGCAGTCGGGACTCCAGTCGTAAAACCGGTCTCCACTCCACTCGGTCCAGTCAGTAGTTATCGTTAGTCAGCTACGCAGCTGAAAATCCTCGTTTCTGGGAGCTGAAAGCGTCACCCGGCAGGCGGCGCTGTCTCAGTAAGGAGTGTAAGAGAGTCTTATCAGGTTTAACACTCTCTAAACAAACTCGATAAACTGCCCGCGGGAGCGACCTGAGAGACCCGCTCAGTGTAACGGCTGTAACGGCCGCGTTTGGCTTTAAACGGAGGAACGGCGGAGAGCGCTCGCGCTTCAAAACCGAACGTCCAAGCGGCGGAGTCCCGCGCTCTGATTGGTCTAAACTCCCGCCAGTCTTTTGTTTGTCCTCCCATAGATCTTTTTTTTTTTTCTGGTTCGCACCTCTGCTGTACTGAATGAACTGTGCTGCTTTGTTTTTGTTTGTTTGTTTTTATCTAGACACAGAGTAGAAAACTGCAAACCCTTGAAATACACGAGACAGCTGTGCAGCATTATTATACAGCATCACTGGAGGCCATGTCTTAATATATTAAAGTCAAAGTATGAAGTTGGACATTTAAACAAAAATCTGTTTATGTAATTTTACGTGGTGAAACAATACAGGTCTTTATATATTACTACTCAAATACATTTGTTTATTATTGTTCGTGTTTTCCAAATACTGGAGATAATAATTTTGAAAGTTATACAAATTAAAAGTCTAACTTTGGGCAGCCCTGATCTGCTTAAGAAAATAAACAGAAGTGTAGATGATGAAGAGAGTGAACCAAGGGCTTTTTTTGCATTAAGTTTTGGTGGTATGTGATCTCTAAAGTACTCAGGTTAGCTGTTAAGTACATTTACTTCCTATTAGTTCAAAGTTGTTTTATCTTGGTTTCTAGCTTGTTGTCTCTGGTTACAATTGTACATTTGCAAATAGATCAATGTTGTTTTAATCATAGCATGTTTTCTGCAAATGAGCAAAAGGCTGTGACTGACTGTGATTATCTCCTTTGGTAAATGTTACAAATTAAAAGTTATTCTACCATGAACTTCAATGATATAAGGAAATGAGTTTAAACATTTTAAGGTAAGGTAAATGGTTTAAGAATTGATTTTCTCTTTTGCTATTTTGCCACTGTAAACACATTTCTGCAATAATCAAAAAACAAAACATACAAAAAAAAAAAAGAATCACAAAAGTACAGCAAGTAAAACCTTAGTGAATGTTCTTTTAGTAATATCACACAAAAACCATAAGATTACAGCAGGCTGTTTCTTGAGGACATACTTATATTCTCTCTTATATAGTTATATTCTCATTATATTTTACATTAGGCAGTGCTGTGGTAATCCTGGTAATCCTCCGTAGTAATTTTCAGTTTGGCAGTATCACAGGAATACCACACTCATACCACAGGACCTTTTGTAATGGACCACTCTTTGGTCTCAACTGAACTGTCTTAAGACAAACTGATGTCTTAAGTCGTGCCTCGTCTTCAAGACACACAAAATAATTACTTCTTTGTCTTAAGATGTTAACTTTCATGTCTCAAGACAAAGACACTGTCTTCACTCATACGTCTTAAGACGTTCTTGAGACGTCTTGGCATAAAAAAATGTCTCAAGACATCTTATAAATACTGTCAAGACATCTTAAGACACAGTGACAGCTGAGTATGTAGTAAAACATTGTTAGTACAAAAATGGGGAAAACAGGTGGAGCAAATGATTAATTTGATTAGTTGAGTTTATGCAGCAGCAGCAGCAGCGTCAGTGGGGTCAGGATGTGAGGGTGAGGTTTGCACGGCGTTGTACAGCAGGAGGCTCAATGTTGGTAAGCTGGTCCAGAGGGCTGCCCGATCAAGGCAGAGGAGGCAGCAGCATCAGACGCACAGGATGGGCAGCTGTTCAACTCGGCAAAGGAAAGAAAGAAAGGAAAAACACACAGAGAGTCAGTTCTGTAATGAGTGACTGACAGAACAGAGAGTCAGTTCTGTAATGGGTGACTGATCACAGATTACAGTGTTAGCAGAGCAGCAGAGACTCTGGCCGGTATAGAACCGACAGGGAAAACTAATTACCAAAGGCTTTACTATAAAAGTAAGTTTTTAGCCTAGACTTAAAGACTGAGGCTGTGTCTGAGTCCCGAACATTAACAGGAAGACTGTTCCAAAGCTGGGGGGCTTTGTATGAGAAAGCTCTCCCCCCTGACGTAACTTTATTAATTCTAGGTACTAATAGTGAGCAGCACCTTGTGATCTAAGGAGGCGTGATGGTTCATAGTGAGAGAGAAGTTCACTCAGGTACTGAGGGGCGAGTCCGTTTAGAGCTTTATAGGTCAGTAAGAGAATTTTATAATCAATCCGAAATTTAACTGGTAACCAGTGTAAGGTTGATAAAACTGGGCTGATCTGGTCAAACTTTCTGGTTCTAGTAAGGACTCTGGCTGCAGCGTTCTGGACTAACTGAAGCTTGTTAAGGCTTTTGCTGGGACATCCAGCCAGCAGGGCATTACAGTAATCTAGGCTTGAAGTAATAAATGCATGAACTAACTTTTCTGCATCCTGTAGAGATAATGCATTTCTCAATTTAGCAATATTGCGGAGATGCAGGAAGGCTGTTCTAGTAATATTAGTTATGTGTGCGTCGAAGGACAGATCAGGGTCTATAATGACACCAAGGCTTTTTACAGATGAGCTTGATGCTACTGAGAAATTGTTAAGTTTAAGTGTTAAAGTAAACAGTTTGTTTCTTGCAGCTTTTGGACCAAGAAGCAGAACCTCTGTTTTATCAGAGTTAAGAAGGAGAAAGTTACTCAACATCCAGTCTTTTACGTCTTTCATACAGTCCTCAATCTTGCCAAGTTTAATTTTATCATCTGGTTCGCTTGGAAACTTATGCCGTGTTTACCGATAATGGTGCCCAGTGGTAGCATATATAGTGTGAATAATACAGGTCCTAAAACAGAGCCTTGTGGAACACCATACTTTACTTTTGTGAGAACAGATGATTCACCGTTTAAATTAACAAACTGATAGCGATCAGTGAGGTAGGACCTGAACCAGGAAAGAGCTATTCGTGTTACCCCTACAAGGTTTTCTAGTTTGTCTAGTAAGATAGTGTGGTCTATTGTGTCAAATGCCACACTAAGATTGAGGAGGACTAACAGAGACACTTTTTCTTGGTCAGAGAATAATAAAGATCATTTACAATTTTTACTAGTGCTGTCTGTGTACTATGATGTGGCCTAAAGCCAGATTGAAAATTTTTGTGTATTTGATTTCTATGCAAATAGGAGCTTAATTGTTTTGCTACAACTTTGTCCAAGATCTTAGATATAAAGGGGAGATTCGAGATGGGTCTATAATTTCATAGTTTGCAGGGATCGAGGTTCGCTTTCTTAATCAGCGGTCTAATTACTGCTAGTTTAAGAGATTTTGGGATCTATCCAAGGCTAAGAGAGGAGTTTATTATTGAGAGAATAGGCTTGGTTATTTCTGGCAAAATTTCCTTGAGTAAACCTGTAGGAATCGGATCTAACATACAAGTAGATGATTTTGCGGAAGAAACTATTTTAACTATATCATTTTCTTGAAGTAAGGTAAATGATTCAAGCCTTCCTGCAGGGTTTATAGTATTCTCAAGGTTGAGGCTGGCATTATGGGGATGCAGGTTTGAGGAGTTTAATTGTGTATTCTGAATTTTCTGCCTAATTTTTTCAATTTTATCACTAAAGAAGTTCATAAAATCATTGCAGCTATAGGCTGATGGCATCTGGGGTTCACTAACTGTTTTGTTCTCTGTTAGTTTAGAGATTGTGCTGAAAAGTAATCTAGGATTATTCTTATTGTTTTCTGTGAGAGAGGAGAGAGAGGCTGAGCGTGCTGCAGTAAGTGCTCTTCTATAGTCTGTAAGGCTCTCCTTCCAGGCGGACTGGAACACTTCTAGCTTAGTCAGGCGCCACTTTCGCTCTAGTTGTCTGGCGGTCTGTTTTAAAGCCCGAGTGTGGTCATTATACCAAGGGGCGAGTTTTTTCTGCCTTACTATTTTACTTTTTAATAGGGCCACACTATCTAGGGTAGATCGAAAATGATCCTCTAAGAGCTTGGTCATAATATCTAACTCGGTAGGATCAGATGGACAGCTGACAGAAGCTGATAATTGTGGAAGGTTTCTAATAAAGCTACCAGCTGTGGAGAGAGTTATTGTCCGCTTGACACAATAACATGGTGATGAACGCACATTACCACTAAAGTTCGTATGACATTTCGAGGCTCTTTGGCGCTTTGTTTTATTCGGGGAACAGACACATTCTCTATCGGGCGATATTACCTCGCTACTACATATTCCACAGTCAACTGTCAGTGGTATTATAACAAAGTGGAAGTGATTGGGAACGACAGCAACTCAGGCACAAAGTGGTCGGCCATGTAAAAAGACAGAGCGGGGTCAGCGGATGCTGAGGCGCATAGTGCGCAGAGGTCACCAACTTTCTGCAGAATCAATCGCTACAGACCTCCAAACTTCATGTGGCCTTCAGATTAGCTAAAGAACAGCGTAGAGAGCTTCATGGAATGGGTTTCCATGGCTGAGCAGCTGCATCTAAGCCTTACATCACCAAGCACAGTGCAAAGCATCGAAAGCAGTGGTGTAAAGCGCCGCCACTGGACTCTAGAGCAGTGGAGACGTGTTCCCTGGAGTAACGAATCACACTTCTCCATCTGGCAAGCCGATGGACAAGTCTGGGTTTGGCGGTTGCCAGGAGAACAGTACTTATCTGACTGCATTGTGCCAAGTGTAAAGTTTGGTGGAGGGGGATTATGGTGTGGGGTTGTTTTTCAGGAGTTGGGCTCGGCCCCTTAGTTCCAGTGAAAGGAACTCTTAATGCTTCAGCAGACCAAGAGATTTTGGACAAATTCATGCTCCTAACTTTGTGGGAACAGTTTGGGGAGTTTGGCCCCTTCCTGTTCCAACATGACTGCACACCAGTGCACAAAGCAAGGTCCATAAAGACATGGATGAGCGAGTT